GGCTCTGCCTGTGTGTGTCTCTGTGTGTGTGATTGCACCCCAAACAAGGATTTTAGCTTGGATTCTGTCCTGGGTTGAGACACACAGGACTAACTTTTCTTCTAATGCTGGGGGAAAATGCACTTTTAGAAGACCCTAGCGTCTGAATTTGTGAAAATAATTTACTTCATAGCCAGCCAGGCTCACTGGGATTCAAGGTCTTAGTGTTTTCGAGCCTTGCCAGGCGCAGGAGGAGCAAGGCCTGGGCATTGGACAGGATTATTTCATACCATGAACGTCACATTCTATATAAATTAGAAAAGTTTGCTGCGTAGCTCTCTCTCCCTTGATGGCGATGGTCCAGACAACCCCTGGCCCTGGTGCCGGACCCCTGAGGCCTTCCCTTCCTCCCGAAGCCGTTGGGCTGGCAGTGTCCGCCATTTGCTGTCCCTGCTGGGAGCGCACAGCTTCCCCCTGACAGAACTGGCTGTGTATAATTCTTGTATATCTTATATCAGTATCAGGATTCATACTGGTTCTTTAGTATTATTGTTAATTATTTAGTCTTAGTCTATTAAATCTATTTATATTTCAACTCCTGTGTTTCTTTGTGTTCCCCAATTCCCCTTTCCAGGTGGGGAGGGGTTATCGGGTGATAGAATAATTGTCTAAATGACAATAGATTGTTATAGGTTTTCTCAAACCGTAACAGATTCACAGCCTGCCCTTCACTGGCCCTAGGACAGTGTGGTGGTTTGTACCGTGCTTGCTGAAATCTTCTGCTTTTCCCTTTTATTTCACCAAATCCCACCAGTGTGAGATGAAGAAGCCAGTGCTTCACACGTGGAGTCGCTGTGCCCGGTCGTGTAAGCAGATCCTTCCCCGGGCAATTAGCAGCATTAGTGATACGAAGGATCTTACTTACACCTCCCTTTATTCCCATCCGTATATACAGGCCCTGGGACTTTGGCATCAAAACACAAGCCATTTCCAAGAACACTTGGTGTCTGTAAGCAGTATTTTTTACATTTGAAAAAAAAATATAATCGCAGTTTTAGGAATATGTGATACAAAACCAGAGCTGGACTTTCCAGTTCTCTAAATGTTCATAAACATGGAGGTACAGGGGGTCTGGTCGCAGGGGGACAGATGGTGTCTTCTGCTGTCACCAGTGTAATGGGGAAGAAGCCAAGACCCTGTGGGATCCCAGGCCCCTAAAGCCCTGGGTTTAATCTCTTTGCCCTCGTACCTGCCTTTCCACAGCAGAGTTCTTGGATTCCCTGGGGCTCCAGTAAGCTGTCTAGGCTGGTCCCAATAAGCTTTGCTGGGCTTTCTGGCCAGAAAGGGCTTGGTGAACCCCCTGGCTACAGTGGAAGGCTGGGGCCTGTCCCTTACCCTGGGTCACACCTCTTTGAGCCTGTCCCTGCGACAGGACAGGCCCCAGGCTTGTCCCTGGTTTTCTGTGGTCTCATGGTAAAGCGGGAATGTAAATTCCTGCCACTGTCCACACCTCTCATTACCCCCCCCAATTAGTATTTTGCCAACATCCCGAGTCCCAGTGGAAGAAGACGAGTGGAGGTCACACAGTGAGTAAAACTGGAGCACAGAGACTTTTATTCTTTTACAGTTTTATTTCACTTCCAAAAAAAAAAAACTCTCATTGTCCCCCCAATCAGTATTTTGCCAACGTCCCGAGTCCCAGTGGAAGAAGACGAGTGGAGGTCACACAGTGAGTAAAACTGGAGCACAGAGACTTTTATTCTTTTACAGTTTTATTTCACTTCCAAAAAAAAAAAAAAGCATCTAGATTGGGACATAATGCGGGAAATGGGTCAGGAAGGGCCTGCCTTCAGTTCCCATGATGGGCGTTCAGAAGGATCTGTAGGGCTGATCCTAAGCGACCATGTCTTCCTCCTCCTCCTCCTCTTCCTCCTCTCCCTTTGAAGCGTGGACTCTGTAGATGACGGCACAGACGCCAGCCAGCCAGGCTGCCACGGTGCCGGCAAAGAATATGCAGACACCAACGAGAGAGAGGAAGATGTAGTCTCGCTTGTAGAGCTGGGTCAGGCAGGCGGAGCGGAGCTGTGCCTCCGCCGCAGGCATTTTCAGGGCACGCAGGCCTTCTGGGGTGTAGCAGGTGACGTTGTCAGCATCTGCAGGGGAAAAAGCAGAAGGGGGACCCTCTTGCCTGTGTCTTAAGCAGGAGTCCTGCTAGAAAAATGATGGAGGAGTGTGCTAAACTCCTGAAAAATGCCTACAGGCTTCACACCTCTCTCCCTCCATGGCTTAGGTAAAATCAGACAGGCAAACCCTCGCCAAACCACAATTAGCCAGGTTGCCAGAATGGTGTTGCCTCCATAGGAAAGAATTATGCCACTGCAGCAAACTGCTGTCCCTGCGCTGTTCATCTCTGCTCATTGAGCACTTTTAATATAAGAGCACATGTGTTTCATTTGTTTTTTTTAATCTCAAACACCTTCTGAAGTGATGTAGCCTATATTATGCCAGAATAACGAGGCTTGTGTGCATTTGACAACTAGGGTGGTTTGCAGTTAGGCACAGCCTTACCTGCTCTGTGAGACAGGAGGAGGAAACTTACCAATGATTCAGTTCCACTGAAATAAGGACTATATATACCCTGTGCTATTGTAATATACGCAGTGATAAAACAGATGCTGGCTTTTCCCTCTGAAGTCAGCGAAGGTGGAGCGTGGTAAAAGCACCATCTCCTTCTGGTGTCTGTAGAGCTCTGCCACAGCCCTCTCCTTCCCCTGCAGGCTTTGAACTCCCTGGAGCAGACACGTTTCCTGTGCTGGGCACAGGCTGGTCACTGCTTGATGCACCAGATGGATGGGCTTGAGGGAAAGGGAGCCGTGGAGAGGAACAAGCTGCAGGGGATTTATATTATATTACATTATATTATTATCATATATTACTGCAGTGGTTCTTCACAGTGATACGTGTCATTGTCCTGAGTATAACTGGAGAGCTTTGATCTCTCTATTACCAAAATCCATCTAGATCTGGGCAACTTCACCTCAGCACCTAGACTGCACCATCCAGCTGAGCACAGAGCACTGGTGCCAAAGTGTTCTGTGAAGCAGCAGCAGCTTTTTGAAGGCCAGGATGGGGATCTCCTTGCCGCAGAATTCAGGAATCTGGCCCAACATCCCTTCACACTGGAGCTTCAGCTCCTGTAACAGCCCTCAGTTTGGGGCTGCCTTGTCCTGATGAAGAGAGAGCTGCCTTTCCCTGCCCACAGGCAGCCGGGTGTTTGTCCAGCCTGTGGGCACTTGCCGGCAGCGTGAAATCTTTGTGGAGCCCTCACACCAATCCCAGGAGGCACACATCCTTCTGCAGACTCGCCCACAACATCTCACCAGGACACAGCAAAGCCCAACAGAGCAGGGAAGTGGAGCTGCCTCCGAGGGCTCTCTGGTTTCTTTGGCTTTCCCATTTTCCAGAGCACACTGCAGGGATCCACACTCAAACCCCCAGTCTTTGCTGACACTGCCTTTCTTACTCCTACCCTCCCAAACTGTCTGCAATGAGCTTTATTCTCTTGTTCCAGGGTTCAGTGTGTTATCTCCAATCCTACTACTAAGAACAGCACTTTTTTTCACACTGTTCCATAACTGCCTGTAACTTATACATGGAAAATAAAAAACTTTACTGTCTATAGGGAGCTGACTACATCTAATAAGACACAGAGATGTCCTTAATTTTGTTCTGCCCTAACAACCAGCTTCCATTTGCCCTTCCCTTTTCTCTCCTTGGGCTCTTTTGTGGCTCCTTCTTATTGGATTCAAACTTTCTCAGTTTCTCTCTTGCAGCTCTCTCTCACCATTGTGTCCTGTGTTACTGAAAACCAAGCTTTCCCCATTAGTATGGGTTGTGCTGTGTTCCTTTGCAGTTCGGAAAAATCGAGTTCATGTCCTGCAGCTGCAGAATGAGGGTTTGCCCTTGGGACCAGTGTTTTTCTGGGAAAGGGACCTGGTGATTACCCTGCCTCATGAACACTCGATGTCCACGGCCCAGTTGTAGAATCTCTCAATATGATGGGAAGCAGCTGATTTTGGGATCCCAGATGATGTAAGGAAGGAAGTTTTGGAGACCCAAGAAATGGCTTTTATTCAGAAGCAAGCTGCGCTGTGCTGCTGTGTAACCCATGGGACTTGGTGCTCACCTGCCTTGCACATAGCTTTCTTATTGTGGAAAACTTAAAATAAAAGAGAGCCAATTTGCTCTGGGGTGCCAGAGGAAGAGTGGGGACTTATGGAATCTCCCAATTGTAAGGATACAGACACTTTCCTGAGTGCAACTTGTGTTCTGTTTCATGCTGACCATCAAAGGTCAGCTGGGATCCAAACCAGAGCTCCCATGGGAACAGCAAAATGTTTCTCTTGACTTCTGAGCACTGGGTCACAGTCTGATACAGAGGATCAGGCAAATGTACCTGCTCTGAGGGCTGAGAAGCACTGTGACAGCCAGAGGTTGCATGATCTCTAATTTTTAGCTGTCCTAGCTACTGTGCTCTTAAGGCAAAGGGCATTATGTTCACTCTTCACGTACAGAAACAGGTCGATGGGGAGCAGGGTGTGATCACAGCCCCATGGAAGTCAGCAGCTAAACTCTCGCTTCCACGCTACCCAAACTGCAGCCATGGGGTGCTGTGACTCGCAGGCACAGGGACACCTCCTGGGGCTGGAGCCAGATCTTTTAGAGCAGCAGCAGTGTCCTACCTACAGGCTATGCTTCCCTGACTGTCCTGAGGATGTGAGCAAGTGTGACTCTCTATGGGTGTGTGTAACGCAACTACACCAGTCCATGTTTTGTGCAACAGCAGAAGATGGGACACAAAGCTGACATGCAGTGGCACAGCCCCATAAACTGAAGTTTTGGGAAACAGAACAGAAGGCCCTCTCCGTTCCACACAGATCTGCAGGAGCAGGGGCAGGGAGGTCCTGCTCACACAACCCTCACCTGGAAAATGAACGTTGCTCTCTGTCATCCAGGTGATGAAGTCCAAAAAGGAACAGTTGCAGTGCCACAGGTTGCCACCGAGCCCCAGAAACCTCAGGTTGGGCAGGTCCTGGACAGTGCTGGTGTCCAGGAACATTAAGCCTGTCCGGCTCACATCCAGGTGCCTCAGCCACGTATTGTTGGCAAAAGCATCCTTCTCGATGGCCACAAGATTGGGATTGTCTGAGATCTTCAGCACCACCAGGCTGAGAAGGTGTGAGAACGTGCTAAAGGTGACCTGTGTGAGGTTGTTGAAGCTGAGGTCCAGATAAACAAGCTTGGCCACACCAATGAAAGTGAAATCCAGGTCATCCCCCAAGAGATTCTTTCTGCAGTCCAGGTAGACCAAATCAGCCAAGAAGCTCAATTCCATTGCCGGCAAGTACGAGATGCTATTTGCCACCAGAATCAGCTGCCTGGTGTCCAGCGGGATGGCCGCAGGGAACTCCTGCAATTGCTGCCCTGTGCAGTTCACTTCCAGGTACTGACAGCTACACCTCCTCGGGCAGTTGATCCTCTCTGATGCCATCCCCATCCCCAAAAGAAACATGAGGCTCAAGGGCTGTGGTCTACGTGAAGGAGACATGGTCTAACACCTTCCAGGCCCCTCAGCCCTTTGGGGACTGCGAGCAGCCCCTATGCGAGCTGCGTTACCCTCACAGCCATGCCGAGGAGGTGTCTGGCTGCAAGGCTGTTGGGAATCACTTTGTGTCCGCGACTCACCTGACTCCTTGGCGGAGTGCCTGCCTGGAAACTGAGCCCAGTTTCTACATCAGCAAGTGCGGAGCGGTGGCTGGAGTGTCTCCATGTCGCACTCGGTGCCAGATGACACCACCCCTGTGACAGCAGAGGGGACAGTGCCGTGACCTCGCAGGCCCTGCGTTCAGCTGAGTGGAGATGCGGGGAGGCGTGCATGGCATGTAAGCATCAAAACTGTGCAGGGCAGGCGTGGACAGTGCAATTTTGGTCACAAATGGTGTCTAAATTCAGGAGGCGGTATTTGTTCTGATTCAACAAGACAGCCCTGTGAGATGTTGGGCTGGATCAGCTTTGTCTCCTCTCAGGAAGCGGCTTAGGTTCTTCCAGAGGCATTTTTGCAGGGGACAAGCTTTCCAAAGCTGCATCAGCTCTCCCTGCCGACTTGCCGTGCTGTGCCTCCGCCTGCCCGCCTCTCGGCAGGAGCACCTGCCCTCGGCCCTGACAGAGCTGCTTGCTCCCCGCCCGGGAGCAGCGCTTAGCACACCGAGCAGCCGGCACGGCGCCGGGCCCGCCCTGACGGCGGCCATCGCTAGCAGCCCAGGGAGCCGCCACAACCACCGGCTGGAGGCGGCACCCCACAGCCCGACAGGGGCGAGGTGTGGGGACGGACCCAGCTGTGAGGAGCGGGGCCGCTAGGCCCGGCCTCTCCTCTCCCGCCGCCCCCGCCCCCGCCCCGTTCTGGGCTCCTCAGGCGGCCCCGCCCTTAACGGCCAACGGCCGCCGCGCGCGCGCGAGGCGGAGCCCGAGCAAGCCCCGCCCCCTCTCCCGCCGGCGCGGCCGCTGATAGGCCGCCGGCCGAGCTGCGCGTGACGCGGGGCGGGGGCGGAGGAGGCGCCCGCCAGATTCAAGTTGCGGTCCGGCCGTTGGTGCGGCGCGGCCGTTGCCCGGTGTCGCCATGGAGGTAATGACATTTCCCCGTTACAGCCCCGACGACATCGTCAGCTACCTCCGCAGCCACGTCCTGGGGGGCGCCGAGGCTCGGAACCTGGTCAAGAGCGACGTGTTCGGCAACCCCAAGGTGGGTGAAGGGGAGGCCGCGGCCTGCGCGGGGCGGGACGGGAGCGGTGGGGGCCCCGCCGGTTTCAGGCAGCTTCCTGCCCGTCGCGGAGGAGGTTTTCTTGCACATGGGTTGGTTTCCTGGGTGATCTTCCCTATCGGTTTACACCCACAGCAGCACACCAAGTGACTGACCTGCTTTGAGCAACACGGGGCTAATTTATCTTCCAGTGCCCGAGAAAACGGCGCTTTTAAAAGGCTCTGGTGTCTGAATTTGTGAAAATATTTACTTTATAACCGGCTGCGGTATGTGGGTTTCAAGATCTCTGTGTTTTTGAGCCGTGCCGGGTGCGGAGATGAGGAGGAGCAAGACCTGGGTACTTGATCCAAACTTGACAGGCACTCGACAGGGTTACTTCATGCTGTGAACATCACATTCAGTAGAAAGTTTGCTGTGAAGTTCTCTCTCCTTTAATGACTGTGATGAAGAGAACTTGTCCCTAAGGGACATGGTGTAGGGGATGACCTTGTAGAGTAGGGTAGATAGTTGGACTCGATGATCCCAAGGGTCTCTTCCAACCTAGACGATTCCATGATTCTATGAACTTCTTTCCCTGATGCCAGACCTCTGAGCCCTTCCCTTCCTCCCGAAGCTGTGTCTGGCATTTGCTCTCCCCAGCTGGGGGTGTGCAGCTTCCTGCTGATAGAACTAACTGGCTGAGTAGAATCCATGTATATTTTATATTGGTATGGGGATCAATACTGGTTCTTTAGTATTATTAATACTCTTACTCTATTAAATCTGGTTATATTTCAGCCCTTGGGCTTCTTTATTTTTTTTCCTGATTCCACCCCAGGTGGGTAGGGGTCATCAGGTGATAGAATAATTGTCTAAATGATAAACTGTTGTGGGTTTATCAAACCATAACAGTGACGTGATTAGGTTTTCTGATGTGGCAGACCAGTCTTTTAGGAGTTACAGGGCTAAACCTAGAGCTGCTCCTCTTTCCAGCTTGAGAGAATCTTCGTAAACAGGCAAACATGAAACTTCACAGTCTGTCTTTTTCAGTTCTGTGGGAACTAGGTTAAAACAGGTGCTGTGTTTGGCACAGTGTCATAGTTTTGACAGCTTTGTTGAGCAACTAATGCCTTTAAACCAATCCTGTGAAAAGCAACCCCCCCAGCTTCACCCCCTTTTTTTCCTGTATCGCTCTGACCTTTAATGTTAGTGCAGACTTGCAGTGTCCTCAACAAAAAAGAAGTGGCTTTAAGACTGAATTGGTGCCTCAGGGTGATTTCTTGTGCTGCTGTGTAAGTGCTTGTGCCTGCTGAAGGAGGAAGGTGGCCCAGTTCATATAGGGAACAATGTGGTGATCCTTTTTCAGAAGCAAGATGGATTTGAGTTGATCAGGGATTAGTGCTGTAAATGAGTAACTGCTTAGTTTGTAGGTATTTTTTTGCCTCTCCATTTTAATAATGTGATGAAGGGCACTATTTGCTATGGGTTCATAGTTTCTGTGACCATTTCAAGATTTTTTGGTGCTGCTTGGTTTCAAAACTGCACAGTGAACAGCATGTGAGAAACACCGGCTCACACTTAGAATTTTAAAAAAGGACAAAGTCGCCGAAGCAAAGGTATAAAAATTTATTATATGAAACAGCGCTGAATCGGGTGCATCTCAAAGCAGAGGCACACCAACCTTTTAGCTTTTTGATATTTTTATACCCTTATCCCAGCCACCTGAGTTACCATCTCTCTTCCTGTTGGCTGAGAAGTTGGAGCTCACATTCTTCCCGACAGCCTGACCTATTACAGATCTAGTTTACACCTTTTTACCTTACAAGGCATACCCTCTTACTCTACAAAATCATTATCCTAAACACACCTTTGATTAGTTGATTAGCTCCACGTTATTTCACAGTCTTTGCTATCATCTACTGTCCAGTGTTTGTAGTTACAAGCACCCTGGTGGTCGTATCCTCATCTTCATCAGCCACCCTCTAGGTGACCTTCATCCACTTGTCAGTCTTCACAGTCCTTTGTCCACTTATCAGTCTGCCATCGTCCTGGCTCTCTTCACCTAGATTAGTTTGGTACAATGAGTGAGGCTCCACCATCACCGGGCCTCCTCTGTTGATACAGACATACTAACAAAAATATATCAATGAGCTAAAGCAAAACTCAGCCCATTTCTCACAAGCAGCATAACTGAAAACAATGCATAGATGTGGCAGTTAAGGCTGTAGTTGTCAGAGCTGATTGCTGTCTTTTATCACTGTATTATGAGATAGTAATGCTTGAACTGCAAACTATTGGAAAGTAAAACTTGTTAATCCTGGTGGCTCAGTGAAATTGGCTTTTGTGTGTTAAAGGCAGAACTACTTTTATGGACTAGTCTGGGAGCCCTGGATAATCAATCATATGGATTGATTCATGTTCTTTCTTATTGCAGCCTGAAGTTTTACACATGATTTACATGAGAATCCTGCAGAAGGTTTATGGAATCCGCCTGGAGCATTTCTACATGGTATGTCTGTAGTAGCCGGGGTAATGAAAAGTGAAATGAAAAAAATATTGTACTGAACATTAAATACTGAAGTACCTTCCTTTTCTCTTCTCGCTAGCGAATGACAAGTAGCTTACTGTTTTGTATGTTGTAATTACATGAATAGAAGCTTAGAAATTCTGTCTCTGTTGCAGAACACTTGTGTATGCCCATGGTCTAATGTTAGATCACCTCCGTGAGCTTTAAAATATTAGAAAAAGTGACAGTGTACTACAACCTTCTCCTTCTGATTTCTTCATAAGAGTTGAGCATGTGAATTTCAGGATGTTTTAAGAAAGATCTTCTTGTTATGTGTGTTATGCAGAGACTGTCCTTCTGCACCGGTTTTGAACAAATTAAAACAGGGGGTTTAGACTGAATTCCGGAGTTCGTAATGTTGCTGCTTTTTGTTAGTGTCTTTATATTTTGACCAGCCAAAACTGACACTCAAAATAGTCTGCTGATTAACTTGATGGCTTTCTTCAGCCTCTAAGGTGTTCCCTGTGGATGGGGAGGCCATCACTGTGTTTAACCTATTTGAATTATCTGATGTTGTGGAAACAAACCTGTGTATTTTTAAGGATTCTGTACTTACACATTGATTTTTTTTTTTTTTACTTTTTAGATGCCAGTCAACGTTGAGATAATGTATCCACAGTTATTTGAAGGCTTTTTACCTGTTTGTAACTTGTATATTCATATGTAAGTAGAAGATACTGCAGAAGATACTGTAGAAGATACTGTTCAGTTGCTACTCCTTCTAAAGGTCCAGTTTACTAGAAGTAGTGGGAATTTATGCCTTTTTGCTGATGGTGCTTCCACTGCTTGTTGGCGCTGAGCAAAGTGAAATTTGCAGATGAGCAGGGGACAGCCGTGTTTAATAGAGTAAAATTCTCAGCAGGCAGCCATCTTGTCAAAATGAATGTATTAGCTAAATAAGGCAACCTCACCAAGATGAAGCACAAATCTATACTTTGACTTTTTAGAGGGTCATCATTACATCTAGAAGAGGCATCTTAAGTACTTGTGTAAATTTGCCATCTGAATTCTATGTAGATATCTTTGTTGGAATGAGGTGAGTATTAGACCTTAAGCTTCATTTCAGTTGTAAGGGGAGAACTGGCTAACAGTTAAGAGTTCTCCACTTAAGCTGAAAAATTGTTCTACAGGCAAGTGTTTTCTCTATAGACATTTTTGTGAAATGTTGTAAGAATACAAATTTTGAATG